TTTTTTTTATTTTTATAAAATCATTTTTTTGGGACAAAAACTTGATAAAATATTAATTAAAAAGAAGATACCTTCTTAAAAAAATATTTTATGTTTTAATATATGAAATCTCTTTTAATTTGTTGTGTTTTGGAAAGAATCAAAAAATCTTAAATAAATTTAGCGGAGCAGTTAAACTTAGTCAACAGATCCCGAGTCAACTGTGAGTTTCGGTCTTATAACTTAAGAGGGTGTCGATAATTTTTAATGTTCTTGGTATCAATAAATAGAGCATTAAATAATCTACAAGATACCAAAAAATCAAAATTTTCAATTGATTGATAAAAAAGTTATGATCCAAAAACTAACTTTTCCAAAAAAAAATCTGATTTTACGGCACATTATCTACCATAACTTTTTTTTATCAGTGGTCAAGAATTTTGATTTTTTGGTATATCGTAGCCTGTTTAATGCTCTTTTTTAATCCAACGGTACCAAAAATATAAAAGGAGTGACCTAAACACTTTTCTTTTAAACTTAACAATCTCTCTCTACCTCTCTCCCTCTCTCCCCCCCCCTCTCTCTCTCCCCCCTCTCTCTCCCTCCCTCTCTCCCTCCCTCCCTCTCTCCCCCCCCTCTCTCTCTCCCTCCCTCTCTCTCTCTCTTTCTCTCTCCCTCTCTCTCTACCTCCAAATATACATAAACCCCCAAAATTAAATAAAAACCAAATTCATAAATCTTCTAAAATAAAAACAACTTAATCCCCTACAATCATACTTCCACTCTAATTTTTTTAAAGTTTATAATAATACATTTTTAAAATATCCACTCTAAATTTTTTTTAAACATAACACACTTTTAATTAAATATTTTTATTATTACATTAATACACGTTATCACACTCAATTAATTTCGCGCCCTCAAAAATCTTAAATCAAACAAATATTAATTAATTAGACATTCCCCCACGCGCCTTCTAAAATATTCAAAAAATAATAATTATTATTATGGCGTGACCCTAAATTATTTTTTTTTTATATTTATTAAAAATTAATTTTTTTTTCTTATTAATTTATTCCCCCGCAATCCACAAAAAAATAACATTTTTTATTTAAATTAATAAATACTTAATAAAATATAAAAATATATAAATTAATAAAAAAAATATTTAAAAAATAAAAGAAAAAAATTTTATTGTGTTTTGACCTCTAAAATATATACTAAGCTTAAAATTTTTCGAGCTTACCCCAAGAAAATTATAAAAAAATAAAAAGATAAAATTATTAATAAAAATATTTTCAGTAAAAATAATAAAAAATTAAAAAATACGTTAAAAATCTGTTAGGTTCTAGGGTCCTATTTAGACTAGAGATCGGACTGGGAGGGCCGTACGAGAATCGAGATCTTTTCGAAAAAAATATCGATCTCGATAACCAAGATTTTTGATCAATATCTCGTCTCGCTCCAGTGCTTGGAATTTTAAAAATTGCTCGTACTCGTACACAGGTACGAGTATGAATTTTGGTACGAGCTTCCAGACATTGGTCCGGTCTCTAATTTTGACCAAAAACCTCTTTTTTAATAAAAAATTATTCGTCAAAAAATTATTTTAATATTAAAAAAATTTCTTTCTCAAGGGGAACTAATCCAAATTCTATTCTTTTTAAAAATCCTCAAAAAAAAAAATAAAAACTGCGAACAAAAAAAAGATAATGAACTCTTAAACAAAAGAACAAAAAAAATTTGATTGTTCCTTCCAAAAATAAAAACTTTAAAAATACCCAAAAATAAATTTTTGCCGAAAAAATTAAATATTCACAAAAATAAGTGACATACCCATCAATCATTTTACATCATTTCAATAATTTAAAAAAATTTTTTAAAAAAATATTTAAATATCACCCTCACCTCAAATTGGCAATTTATTCCTTTACATTTATGTTTAAATTTTTTTAAATTTAATTTTATCTTTTCAAAATAAATTTCTATTTAATTACCCAAATTATTACCGTTTTAGCTTACAAAAAATAAAAAAAAAATTTTTACAAAACACCATGGTTGCTTTAATATGAGCCCGGCTCTACTAAGCCCGGCCCAATCTAATATAAACCCTCGCCCGAGAATGCCCAACAAAAAATATAAGCCCACTCTCTAATAGAAGCACATCCCTGATAAAAGCCACGTCAAAGAAATAAAACCCCTCTCTCTAATAGAATCCGTCTCTAATATAAACCTAAGCAGAAACATATTAAAAGCAAAAGCCCCCTATAATATTGGAGCATTTACGGAAGATAAAAAATTTTACTATAAAATTGTTAACATAAAAAATACTAGAAAATAAAAAAACAAACATGAAATTTCAAAAAATTTCAAAAATCAAAATTCCCTCAATTTTTAGATTAATTATGAATATATTTCAGAGAGAAAAAATTAAAAAAAAAAGGAAGGAAATCGTCAACAGATTAAAAAATATATATATAATTAATACAAAAAATCTAAAAAAGGAAAATAAAAAAATTTTTTTAAATTTTCCATTTTCTCATGTTTTTCAGTTTGTGAAGACCCATTTTTTAAAAAATTTTATTTTTATTTATTTTTATTTTTTGTTTGAAAGGAAGTTTTCTTTCTTTTCCCTTATGCGCAAAAAATTTCAATTTTTTCCTTGTTTTCGTCACAAAAATTTTTTAAACCCAAAAATAGGTATATTTTTTATATCTTCCTCATTTTCTTATCAAATGTACTTTTAAAATATTTAAATTTAAAAAAAGTATTAACCAAGAAAAAAATTTTTTTCTTGGTTAATATTAAAATTAATTCTTCCTCTTTTTTCCTTACAATTACAAATTTTAAATGCCACATTTTTACACTTTTACCATATTTAAAATTTAACACGCATCCAATAACATACTCAAATTTACTGTTAGCCTATTCGGTAACCCGGAAAAATAACGATACCGAAAAATCACTTTTTTTCAAGAATTTTCTAGTACAGTATAAGTGTACCGTATCCAACATTCAAACATTCATTCAAACATAAAAGGTATTTTTTTAAAAAACAGACCTAAACATTAGAACACCTTAAAACAAACTCCAGATATAGTAAACTCGCAAAAAAAACACCTCATAACAAGCTTCGGATATAATAAACTCGTCACAAAAATTTATTCATAGGATAAAAAGCACCTTATCTTACCCACTTGCCCCTTTGCGCATTACTATAAAAGATACTCTAGCTTAATCTTAAAGTCTAAATTCTCATACATATTCCTTAAAAAATTTTTACCTACATCATAACTGTAAAAATAAAATAGTAGTAAACATTGCAAAATTACCAGAAAAAAAAAAGTTCTAAAAAATATTATTATATCCAAAATTTACTTAAAATAGTTTCTAATCCATCTCTTTCAGAAAAAAAAAATTTTTTTTGCTGTTTATGGAATATATTTTTAATGGTAACATAAAAATAATTCTATAATTATTTTCTTCTTATTCATTTTTAATAGTGTTTTTAAATAATAAATATTTTTTTTCTAAATTTAGTCAATTAATCTTTGTAACAAAAATTAAAGGATTGATGGTCTTTTGTGTGTTTTAATTTATTTTTTTTCAAAAAATGTTTCATTTTTCCAGTTTAATAATTTTATTATTTGTTAGGCAAAAAATTTCAGAAAAAATTTTTTAAGGCTCTAAAATATCCATTATCCCCTTATCTTGATAGCCCCGATATATCTGGATAAACACATCGGGATATTCAATGTACAAACAGATAATCTACGGAGGTTTCACGAGCTAAGGCCACTACTAGATCTTGGTGGATAGTGAATACATCACCCTATTAAAGGAAATAGTTTTCGTTGTAACTAAAGTAAATACGCAAAAGGTTATATTTTTGTAGCCGCAATCCCGACATGCTCTTCCCTAACCTCAAAATATTTAAAAAAATAAAAATATCCTGTTTCTCTCATTTTTATGCCTAATAACTACATTAAATCTACTATTAAATGATGTTACCCTAAAATTTAGTAAAAGCACGAATAAAAAATTTTCTCTAAAATTGCCATTAATTAAAAAAAGTCTATAAAGATACAAAAAAAGAACAAAAAATACATATCCATTTTTAAAGTAACACATAAACACACACCCTATTTATAGAAAATTTTAGTAAAACCTGTTTTTATTAAAAAAATAAACCTGTCTTTTATCAATATACATATTAATCTTAAGTAAACAGACTTAATTAATTTAGACCAAAAATTTAGAAACCCTCCTCAACAACTTCGCAAATAACAATCTCCCTCTAAAATTTTAATCTCTTATCCGTCCCTATAAATAAAACTTTTTTCAAAAAATTAAACACCAAAGTTGACGACAAATTTTTTTTAAAAATAACTGCGTCACTCAACTAATTTTAAAACTTTTTTCATACGCATCCTTCCCCTCCCCATCATCTTAACACCAAAAAAACGCGTCATTTTCTTCCATGTTTTTTTGTTTATTTATTTTTTCTCTATGATGCAAAAAAAACTTTTTTTTTCTGTCTAAAATTTTCCCCTTTTTTTAAAAATTCTGATCTCATTTCCTTTTTATTTTTTTCTCTTTTCATTGTTTATTCATCTTCCGGTTTTCCGGATGTCTTACACCCATAATCGTGTTAAAAGTGCAAAAAAAGCTTCTTCGTGTGACCCCCAACTTTCCCCCTCCATTCTAAAAGTGTGCGCAAAACCCATCTCGGCGCGTGTTCATTTTCCATACTTTTTTCCTCCCCTTACTAAAAAAAAATTTTTGGCGCACACATTTAAAATTTTTTTTTATTCTAATAAATAATTCTGTAAAAATTTTTCTTTAAAATTTTTCAATATACCGTGATATGTTTTTATTAATACGCGCAAGAAGAACACTCTGGTTGTCTAAAAGAAAAAGAGGCGGTGTCCATTAAAAACTCGCGCGCAATTTTTTTACAAGCTTAAAAAGCTGGAAAAATGCTTTTAATGAAAAGATTATATAAATATGTATTAAAAACTTTAATGTATTGGCAAACCATCTCTCTTGATGATGACTTTTGCGCGCTTTCTTCCCACAAAATTAAAATGACATTTGCGAAAAATATATTTCATAGCAATCTTCAAATATCCCCCACACATATCCCAATAATTTAAAAAATATAAAGAATACCCACTAGAAATATCAAAGACATATATTTCAAGAAACAAGACCGAAAACCCCATAAAAGAGTCAAAATTCAAGACTAAAGACCGAGAGACATAGATGTCCCTAGTTCCACCATTTTCCCCACACTAACAAATAAGGTTGGCTGTTCCTGGGACTGGCTGTTCTGAATTGGCTGTTCTGAATATTCGGAACTGGAACCGATATCCGAACCGAAAATTTCCGGATATCCAGTCTTTTTTCGGTCCCGGATATCTGGAGCCGCCAACCTTACCACACACATATCTTAGCCAATTTAACATATTCCGTTAAAATATCCTCGCAGCCCCCTCCCTTACCCTAATTTTCTCTTAAAAAATCAAATCCTTTTTCTTTCCCTCAGAAGACAATGATTTCATTTAAAATGATTTCATTTCTATAATATTTAAAAATTATAATTTTACTTCCAAAAATGGCCCCATATTAATATGCGCATAAAACACACAACAAAAAATAATAATAATTTTATTATTATTATTTTCTCCTATATTCACACCCAAATAAAAAAAAGTAAATGCCAGTACTTAATTAAATTATATAAAAAAAATAATAAAAGAAAAAAAAATTCGTAAAGAAAGATAAATAAAAATGATGAGATAAAATAGAGCTTAAAATATAAGAAAACAACAGATTTTTTAAGGAAGCATTTTTTTCAGAAACAAAAAAGAAACGTTTCCCCCTATTTTATTATTAATAATAAAAAATTTATTTATTTATTTCCCTTTATTTTTAAATTTATTAAGCTCCTTTTAATATAATTTACAAAAATAGGTAAAAATAAGAAAAGAAAAAATTTGATTTTACCGAAAAAAGGGATAAATGATATTCCCAATTGAACCCAGAGTCTCTGTGATTTGTGTGAAAAAATCGAAGGCTTTAAACAATAGACTCAAAATAATGAGGCCAAAAAGGGATAAGCCAAAAAAGGGAGTAAACGATATATTTTTGAATGAACCTAGGTTCTGCTTTTTCCTGGTTTTCTCCTGTTTTTACGTGAAAAACCGTAGGCTTTAACCACAAATCTCGCAATTATAATCAGAAAAAAAATAAAAAAACATTTCAAAAAAATTCCTATTTTTTTGGAAGTACTTTTGTTGCATAAAAATATGCACTTTTTTAAGATTACGTAAATATATAAAAATATTCATCAAAAAAATTTGCATTTACGGATTAAAAAAAATTTTTTTCTACAACTCTATTACAAGAAAATCTCATTCCACATTAAAAAATTATTTTCTTATTTTTTGAATAATTATCAATTATATAATATTTATTCTATAACCTTTAATATTAGTGTTCTACTAATAAATAATGAACTACTTTCAATGCATTCTTATTTACATTATTTAAATTTTCTTTTGTTCGAGTGTGTGTGAATTATTCAAAGTAGATAAACTAAATGTCCCTCATCCTCCTTCTAATTAGCCTTTTTCTTAGAAAAACTTTTGCTTATAAATTATAATAATTTTTTTATATTTTTAAGGGAACATTCATCGCAACTTTCAAAGATCTTTTATTCTATTCTATTTATTTTATCATCCTCAAAAAAATTTTTTTTTCTTCCTTCCATGCTTTTTCGCGAGCATAATAATTCTTGCGCATCTTTTGATAACAACAATTTTATTTGGAATTCAATGACGTCGCTACAAAGTGATGATGAACAAAATAGACAAGAAAGGCAACAAAAACAACTTTGCAACAAGTATATGCAACACAACAAAAACAGACAAATTAATAATGAAACAATAACAACAAAAATAGGACAACCAACAAAAGGGCAGCCAACAAATATTAATTCTGAAGACAGCAGGAATATAAAAAGAACAAACAACAAAAACAACACTAGAACTACCAACAAAACAGTCATTTTAAGAACACAAAAATCATCTAGAAATAACTCTAATTCTCAATTATTATCCAAAATTGTTGTTCTTTTTCTTCTTTGTTATATTCCATTGATGGTAAATGCTCGCCAAAGGCGTTTATTGGATGGAGAGTCTTCCTCCGAAGGAGAATCATTGCCAAATAGTGAAATAACTTTACCAGAAGAGTGCTATCATCGGTAGGACCAAGACTGTCTCTCTAATACATATTTCCCCCAATTCTCTTAATATTTAAGATACTCCAACACAGACCATCATTCATCATTAATGCATTGGTTACACAGAAAAAACTCTTCTCATTATTCACCAATTTCGCCATCATATCAGCAGGCACTGCTCAAGTTACAGGTAAAGAAAATAAAATTGCATTTCCGGAACTGATTTTAACTTGGTTTTTGAAACTTTAGTTTAAAAAACTTAAGTCTGTACTATTTTTAATATAACTACCAAAAATGATGACTTAACTCAACAGTTACATAAACACCTATTTACTTTGCCAAAACTTTTTTTTTAACTTTTCAAAAAAATATTTATAAACAACCAAACAAACACACACATATTAACGTCATCATTCCATTTTTAACTTTTTAAATTAAACCAAGTGTTTATTAAGCCCTAAATATTTTTAAAATACTTCCAGATGTCTCTTAAAGGCTTTTGACTACAAAAATTTTTTAACTGCTTAATCCCCTCTTTTTTAGACAAAAGTAGAAGGGAGAGAATGAAAAATATTAAGTGAAAAGTGTAAAAAGTTAAATTAGTTTTGTCTTAAAAATTTTTGTATTAGTTAAAAGTGCTTATTTTTATCCTCTGAAAAATTAATTTTTAAAGCCTCAAAGAAAAAAATATTTTTAAATTTCAAAAAAATTAATTTTTCATTGAAAAAATAATTGAGACAGATGTTTATAATTGGGTATTATTAAAATAAGTAACATTTATTATTAGTTATGCAATAATTATTTACGTAGCTAAAGTCAAAAATAGAAATTTTTTCCAAAAATAAACAAGTCCAAAAACTAAAAAGTAAAAAATTTTCTTAATTAAAGGCACAAGAACTAGCGCATGGAGTGCAGGTTACATCGGGAGCTTCAAGTTGTAATACAAGAAAGATGAAAGTAAGATATAATTTCGAATTGTAGCTGATGATGTCTTGGGTTATCTGAAACCTGGAAATCCGAAACTCGATCCACAGAAAATTTTTAAAATACGACCCAAATTTTTTCGCAACCCTAGACATCCTTAACTTACAGATAAAGATAAAAAATCAAATAATCTTATAAAATTTTTAAAGGTTATTAGTGCAACTACACCATTGAGGGAAAGAGCATTGTGTCAGTTTGAATATGTAAACAAACAAAAAAATTTCTTAAAGTCTAGAGATTTTTCTTTTAAAGATTCTCAATTACAATCCACAAAGAATTCCATCAACATTTACTGAAGTAAAATGTTCATGTCCAAAACCATCAATTAGAATGGTTGGAAATCGAATGTTTGAATGTGAACCTTTGCGTTATCAAGTTCGAGTTCTACTATTTGATCCTCAATGTTTAACTTATGTTGAGCATATTGAAACAATAGCATTAGCATGTCTACCAGTTATTCAGGTGGTTTGCATTTTCCCCAAAACATACAAAAAGACAAAAAAAAATCAGGGATGTCACAAGGGTTGATAGAAAAGTCGGGTCGGATTTCGGGTCAAGAAAAGTCCGCATTTCGGGTCGGGACAGTTAGTAAATTAAGAGGGAAAAAGGTCTGGTTTCGGGTCGGATTTTGGAAATTTCTCGACTCTGATTTGTAAGTAGCCTGTGACATCCCTGATACAAACACCCAAAATCATCTCTTAACCAAATTTTCATTTTTAAAGGCAAATACAAACGCTGAAGGCGAATCAGATGAAGCTATGGTACAAGTACCTGCAGATGCACCTTCATTTATTCCAACATAAAAAATTCCTATTTTTTAAATTGCTTTTTTTTTTAATTGTACAGGAAATTTGTTATTTACTAATTAATCTCTCTCTCTCTTTATCCTTTTCTTTTATCCCCTCACCAAAAATATACTTATTTTCCTAATAGTTTTTAAATTTTTTCTTTATCCTTTTTATCGTTTTTAAATATTTAAATTTTTATCTTATTCTATTTTTTGTTAATCTCTTTTCAATTTTTTACTATTCATATTTTTAATTCTTTTGCACTCTAACAATATTTTTTTCCAATCTTACATAGATAATAGCTTATTATTCGGAATTTAACAACAACACCAACACATTATCAATCTTTAAAAAGCACCTATAATCATTCAAAAAATTTACAAATTGTTTCCAAAAATTATCTAAAAATTAAGCCAAACATTTTATATTTACTAGAGCTGTCCGAGACCGAAATTTTTCCAAAACTCAAGACCCAAGACAAAATTTTTTCCAAGACCAAGACACAAGACCAAAACTCCAAGACCGAAAAAAACCAAGAAAAGTCTTGGTTCGAAGATCAAGAGTCTCGGACAGCTCTAATATTTACTAACATTCCATCCAAATATTTTTTTACATATCTCTACCATTTTTTGTTATTTTTTCTTTTACATTTTTTTTCAAAATTTTTCTTGATCTCCACACAAAAAAATAATATTCAAATAACCTCTCTATCTTTTTTCTTTTAAATTTTTTTTATATCCCAGTTATTTTATTTTTTTAATTATATCTAATAATCTCACATAAATAATCCCTCCATTCTAGTTAAATAATAATTAATATATATTTTTATATTAATTTACAAAATTTTGATAATAAAATTTACAGCCAAAAGAAATTTTTTTTTGGAATTTTTGTAGATTAATAACGGGGAAAGAAAGAAAAAAAATTTTTTAAAGAGTAGAATTATAGAATAAAAAATAAGTAAAAAATAATAAAAATAAAAGTAAAAAAAATAAAAAAAAAATTTAAAAATTTGAAAATTAATACGGGTGTGTTGGTAATGTTTGGGCACGCGCTTTTAAAAAAATACACAGGAAATTTACCCCATTAAAAATTAAAAAAATTTTTTTAATTAAAAAACACACCCACCTCAAAACATATTCTCTCTTATTGGTCATCATCATCATCTGGTTCATCCAATTGTTGTTGCAAATGTGTACGTTTTGTCCATCTCTTGATACGCTTCCATCGCAAACTTGCTCTAAAAATGAAAGAAAATTTTTTTTTAATTTTAAGATACATTATTTATTATATTCAATCCCATTTTCATGCCTCAAAAATTAAATTAATAAAACCAAAATAAAAGGGGATTGGTCATCCAAAAATTTTTTTCTAATGATTTTGTCCCTAAAATTTTTATCACAGCCATATGTAAATATTGACCAATTTTTAAATTTAATTTAAAAAATTTTTCTTACTTCCTCATTTCAGCATTCTCCGTTTTTCTAGTCCTTCGTTTTCTTGACCATATCATTGAAGCCAAATCAACTTTTAAACGACCTGCAAAATTAAAAAAAAAATTAATTTTTTGTTTATTTAGAATTTTCTAGTCTCAAAAATTGAATTAATAAACCTAAAATAAAAACAGTGATCATACCAAAAAAAAATTTTTCTAGCAACTTTTTGCCCCTAAACTCACTAAAACTCTAAAATTTCTATTTAAAAAGCCACCTAAATTAAAAAAATTTAAATTTCAAAAAACCTTTTACTCTTGTAATTCCTTTAGATTGTAACATTTTTAATTCTTCAATTTGATCCTTTAATGTTTCCATTGCAGCAACATCTTTAGCCAAATGATTAATTGTTTCTCTATCAGCAACTTGTCTTAATTGTGCAAATATTGGACGATAAGCATCCTCTTTACTTTTTGTAGAAAAATAACGATCAGGAAATACCAAATATTTTCCTTTTTCAGAAATGTTTGTCTTTAAAAAAATTTTTTTAAACTCAAAAAAATTACGCAAAAGAAACCTTAACAATATTTAAATATTCTGCCAACATTCGATGTTCCAAAATAATAGCACGTTTTGCTGCACGTATACGCATTAAACGATTATAACGATTGAAACGGGCAAAGTTTACTTCTGAAAAAATAAATTTAAAAATAATATAGTAATTACCAAAAATAATTTTTTAATGAGAATTAAAAAATGAAATAAAAGCGTTTCCCTCCAAAAGGATTCGAACCAAATAAAATTATTAGAACCGAAACCACTGCACCACAAAAAAAAACACCCAAACAAAAGAAAATTTAAGGACAAAGTATAAATTAGAAGACTTAAGGGTTGGAAAATAAAAAAAATCCCGGTCAATATTTTTCGAGATATCTCGTCGACATTCCAATTCCGATGTCTAGTTTAATGTTCAAAAAATTTTTTTAAAATTTCCTTACCATTCAAAAATCTGTCAGATTCTGTTGTTTGTTCATTTTCTGCCAAAAAGACAAGTTGTGTAATTAATTGTTCAGCTTCATTCTTATATTCCTAAAAAACAAAAAAACTTCTTACTTAAAAAAATTAAAAAATAAACCGTTTCAAATTCATCTCGATAAGGCAAATAAGTTAAAAGCTGTAAATCTTCTTCATCAAATTTTGCAACTGTGTGGGCATCCATTGGATGCGGTGGATGATTGTAAAAATATGGGTTGTATTTGGAACTTGCATAGAGTAGCTTTATTTGTTCAGGAGACAAAAATTCTTTAAAAAATTCCAAAAATTCATAGAATTAAAAAAAACCTTTTTTCTCTTTAATTTGTTGATTCTTTTTGTTTGGAGTATTATTGACACTACTAGCTTCCCCATTACTATTTCCATCCAAATTAATTGCTGCTTCGGAAAGTTCCAAAGAAGTTTTTCGTGATTTACCACGTATTGCTTCAGCAGCAACATTTTTTGCAGCAGCAAGTAATTGTTCTTTTCTGGACTGAAAATAGAGGAATTTTTTTGGTGGTTTTTCTGAAAAAAATTTTTTTTAGAATAGAACAGACTAGACTAACAAATCAGGAATGCCACTGGGTTTTCAAATAGAGCAGACTAGACTAACAAATCAGGACTGTACGGGTTACCCAAAACACGACTTTTTTCACCCGAACCCCCGATCCAAAGATTTTGAAAATCCTATCAAGAACGAATTGATAAAATCACATCCCTGATACAAAAATTAAAAAAAACTAAAAAAATACTTTTCTTTCAAGCACTCCATTGCTAGCCATCTCATTATTATCAGTTATTGATTCTTGTGATGAATTTCGTTTTTCAACAATTTCAGGTAATTCCTCATCCGATTCTTCCTATATATTTAAAAAATTAAACACAAAAAAAAATTAAAAAAGCCTCTTCATCAAAATAATTTCTCTTCGTGCTAAGAGGAGAAGAATTTATTAAATTTGAACTTGACGCTATCGGATTTAATTTTTCTTCAATTTTACGAGAAGAAATATCCTTTAAAAATTAAAAATTATTTTTAAAAATATTTTAAAACAAATTTAAAACCATTTTTCCATTCCTCGTATTCCCATCACATTCCAAATTATTTTTCATAACATTAGTACTAGTGGATGTAGAAGGGAGAGTAATATCACTACAAGTAACCAAATGATCGGAATCTGTGTCTTAAAATAATTTGTAAAAATGTAAATAAAATTATAAAAAATATATACTTTGCTCATCGTTCTCAGACCAATCCTTGACATAACCACTAAAAATAATTTCATATTAAAAAACCAATGATGAATTATTTAAGAAATGCCATAAACGAAAAAATTAGAGATCGAGCTGTATCTGGGCCGCTGTTGGATTTTTCCTGTACACCAAGGGCGTAGCCAGAGGGGCTGACGGGCTATAGCCCCCCTGAAATGGGGAAAATGAAAATTTTTGTGAGGATCGACTCATGTCAAATCAAATCCAAAGCAAAAACCAATCTTGACCTCTAACCCCACCCAAAACGAAAATATATTCAAACAAACCGAGAATAATTTTTCAAAACATATTGGCCTATCGGACCGCGTATAAAACATTTATCCAAACGTTCCAAAGCATCTGTTAATGTCTTCTTTCTTCCCCAATCTTTGCTTAATTCAGGCCATTGATTTAAATGGGAGTGTAAGAGAGCATTTAAAAGTTGTAAATCTTCTTGTGCTCCCCAAGGAGTTTGAGTATCATTTTCAAAAAATGTGGGGGGTCCAATTGCATCACAAAAAGTGTAACGATGAGATCGAGTGTGAGGGTGTGATTCCATACCCATACGAAGACACTAAAGGTGAAAAAAGTTATTATGAATTTGGGAGAGTTGCCTCAATCCGCAAGAAATTTTATGAAAAAATCCGTGGAGTTAAAGTCAAATATTGTGACTTAAAAAGGGTTTTGTGTTTCTGGGCCGCGGCACGAGTCGAATAAAGTGAAGATAAAGTCGATCAGATATCCCGGCGATTTTAAAATAGGAAAACCATGTCAAGCTAGATTTTAAAATAAAAATTCAAATATCATAGCAACAAAAATCCCTATAAGTCACACAGCCTAACAGTCACTCAACTCTGACAACGTAAAACCTCAAATTGATCACAAACCTCAATACAGATGAGCACTTCACACTGTTCACAATCCAAACATTTAGCATAAGTTATTGAAGGAGACAATTCATCCAAACAAAAAGAACAAGCCAATTTATTTGCATCAGAAAATGCGGGAAGATTTTGTTGCTCACGCTTCATTTCATACCAAGAAGATTCAGTTATAGGTTCAAGCAAAACAGTTACACGATAAAATTGAAGAGTTATATCCTTTAAAAATTCAAGATTTGCCTCAAAAAATCCCAAAAATTTACTTGATCTTCTCTAGTCTCAGATATAGCCTTTTGCATTAATTAGCAAATAAAACAATATGCATACTTCAAAATTTAACTAATAAATATAAAATTTCTAAGAAAAATATTGGAGCACCAATTAAATAAAAAAATCTATTTTGTTGATTGTAGGACGAAGTTTTTTGTTGTATAAATGAATAAGCTTTTGTTGTATAAATCTGAAAGAATTTATTATGTCACAAAAAATAAAAAAAAACAAAAAAAAGCGAATGAAAACAAGAAAAAACCCAAATATTTAAAAAAATAAATTGGCAAAACATTTTTTACCAAAATGACATTTCAATTTGTTTACAAAATAACATACAATCCAACGTAAATTTCATAATGTAAACTCCTTCACTAATCGTCAAAATACCTAATTTCTCTAACCTCCTCCTTTCCTTAGTCATTAGAGTCTCACATACTCGTTGACATCACTCTCTCCTCCCTTATATTCCCATACTCTAATAGTTTAATTATTTCCCCTTATTTTGTGAACTTCTTTTTTTTAATCTCGACTTAAAGATTGATCTTTATATTTGACAAACTAATTCGGGAAACTGGAACACCTTTAAAAATTTCTCGTTTTACATCAAACAAAAATTTATTTTTACGTCATATGCCCACTAGAAAAGAGAACAGAAAAGAAGAAATGATCCCGTTCCTTATTTAACTTTTTCCTTTCTTTTTTAAAAGTGATTATGAAATACTAATGTGTTCAAGAAATCAATAAACGATAAACATTAAAATTAATCAAAAATAGAAAAATATTCTAATTAATTTTCCCCTTCCCCAACCATTTTTAGATGTAAAAAATTTGAAAAAAAAATTTCAAAAAAATTTCAAAAAAATTATTTGGCATGTTCGAATTTTTAAAATGTTGGTTTTCTGCCATTTGCAAATTTATCGAAGAAACAGTAAGGCTTCAAGGATATGGAGCTATTCCTTATTTAATGGCAATTAATTCGCTTTTTTGGTTAGTCTTTTTTAATTAAATTTTTAAAAATCTCTAAAAAATCTCTTTTAGTTTTGTTTGTTTTTATGCTTCTAGAGAAGTGCAATTACGTGTACTTTATAGCCTTGTTGGTTCAATTCTTGTCAAGGATTTGTTATTAACAAAGAAACGCCAAACGCCAATGTTGGCGGTGCTCTCGTGGTGCTTTGCTGATGTTTTCAGAGTATGAATTTTATTTAAAAAAATTTTTTGGGAAATGGGATTATTAAAGGGACTTAAAAATTTTTTATCAGTTTAAAAAATATTTCTTATCAATAATAAAAAATTTATTTTATCTAAAAACTTTTCAAAAATTTTCAGACTTAATAAAACCTTCTCCTCCCCCAGCGGGGTTCGAACCTCAGACCACCTCACCTACAGGCTAACTTGCTAACCATTACACCATCGAGAACTCATACTTTTTTCTTTTATTTTTTACCTTTCACTTAATTAAATTAATTTTTTCAATCATACCTTAATTTCAAGTCTATCTCCGTCGGATTCTTCCTTTATTCAGTACACATTCTAACTGAAGGGGTAGACGAAAGAAAAGCATTTTTTGCATCTCTTGCCGCAGGTTTTTAAATTTTTATTTTTTTAAACTTCAAAAAAAATTTTTCAGTTTTTTGTCTAATAATTTCCCCCGTTTATCACCACCACCAAACAAATGAAAAATTGGCATATTATGCAAAAATGATTTTAAATTGGTTAAAGAATGTTTTGATATATTTAATTGTTCAACCAATTTTATGGTTATGGGAATGGACAAAATTTTTGTTTTTATTTCGTTGGATGCCTAGTAAGAAGAGTTTTTAAATTTTTTCTTGTCTAGGGTTGTCGGCTTGGGAGAACCAAAAAATTCTCGGATTTTTTTGTTTTCGTATATCCAAAGATTCGGATTGACAACCACCTTCTCCTTGACATCTATTTTTTAAATTTGTCCTTACAATTAGAATTAAAATTTTTCGTCGACATCTGCCCTTTTATTAATTTATCTTTCTATGACCTTGAAAAAAAACTACGCGAATCAAATTTGATCTTTTCTTACAAAATAGCTGTCATTTAAAAATATTTTTCTAACCTTCACGCACTTTAGAAAAAACATTTACACGTAATTATTGCGTAACTAAAAAATTTTTTTTAAATTTATCCTTTTCAAGAAAAACGTCTAAAAAATTAATTAAATTGCTTCCTCGACTATTTAAAAATTCTCTGAATTTCTGTGAATTTTTTAAAATTAAATCTTATTGTTAAAATAAAAATTTAGTAGGAAAACTTGAAAAAAAAATTGTCGAAATTTTTTAATAAAAAAATAAAATTGAATCACCTATTAAAATTTAATCCTCTCCCCATTTTTTATTTCCAATATTTAATTCAAACTAAAAAATCCCTTTTTTCTAATATTTAATTCCTAAATAAAAAAATATTTTTGAGGTTTTTTTTGTCTAAAAATTACCCATTTTTTCTTAATAAAAATATTTTTTAAAAAATATTTTTTAAAAATAGGTAATTGGGTTTTTGTCAAAATAAAAATAAATTTTGGGGGTTTTTCTTACTAATATTAAAAATAATATTTTTAAAAAAATTTTTCTAGTCCTTATTAAAAAATTGTCCAAAGATTACCCCTTTTTCTCTTAAAATTTCTTAAAAAATTTCTTAATAAATTTAAAAAAAATTATATTTTATTTCCTCCCCCCTCATTTAATTTTTTTTAGTTTTAACCAATCAATTATTAAATTTACTGTCTACAATCAAAAATTGGGTAAACTTGTACTTTTGGCAACCAATTTGCACTTTTGGCAATTTTTTAAAATTGTGGTTTCAATATTTATTTTATTTTTATTGGTTTGTTGATTTGTGGAATTTTACAAAAAGTAGACTACTCAATCCTTTATTTATTCAACTTGAACGTTTACTTGATTTTTTTGTTTATATTTTTGGTTGTTATTGGCTTAAACCTGCGCTTTTATATATTGGAAGGTAAAAAAAAAGAAAAAAATTTTGGAGGGTGGAAAGAGGGAGGAAAAAAAAGTTTTTTTTTGTTTAATTAGTAGACAAGAGTAGACAAGGAATATTACTTAAAAATTATTTATTTAGTTAATTCTCCCTTTCTCCCTCGAAAATTAATTTTTTAATAAAAATTTGAAAAAATAATTATCTGAAAATTCAAAAAAAATTTTTATCAATTTAAAAAAAACTTTTTTTTGAATCTAAAATTTTGGAAAAAATTTTCTGATTTTTTACCAGAAATTTTCTGAAATTTTTTTCTGCATCAAATTTTCAGAAAAAAATTTTTTCTGATTTTTTTTCCCAAAAAATCTTAGAAATTCTTTTCAGAAAATTTTTTTAAATTTTTTTAATTTCTTAACCTTTTCGCCCTTTCAAAAAAGCTTTTTAAAGTTTTATTTTAAAAATTAATCATTGAATAATTTTTGTTCAAATTTTTAATCATTTTCTCTCTTTAAAAAATAATTTTTAGAAATTATTCTCCACCTTATTTTTAATAATTTTTTTTGTGGATTATTAAAAATCAATTTAAAAAAATATTTTTAAAAGATTCTTCCCCACAGAATTTTTTTTCTTGATTAATTTTTAAACTAAAGCATGTATATACCTACCTAACAGGAATCCATCCAGCTTAGAAAAAATAAATTCTCAATTTCCCCTTTTCAATTTAAAATTTTTGGGGATTGGGAACGGCTACATCTCTCTTACATAATTAATTTTAAAAAATTTCAAAAATTTAAAAAAATTTTCAAAAATATTTTTTTACCCTTCAGAACAATTGGACATCTTATAAAATCAACTTTTGGCCTTATTTGGCGTGCTTCAAAATCCTTAGCTTCGCAAACTTTTATTTATCTAATTTGGCCCATATTTTTAATGGTCGGGAATCAATTAAGTTTAATGGCTTTGTTAATTTATTCAAATGCAATATATCCTTTAATTATTATTTTATATGGAAAATATAAAAAATTGGAAGATTTGGTTTTAATTAATTTACTTGGTCCTTTAGTTAAAAAAATTCTTGATAAATTACCACAACGGAATCCGTTGGAGAGTAAGTTTGACAATTAAAAAATTTTTAATATTAAAATGGAGAGACAGGGAGGGGCTTAGGTTTCAGGACAGTTTTTCGAAATTTTCTTCTGACCGGGGTTCTGGTATCCCGACCCCACCCCTTTAAGAAATCTAATTTTTGAATTTTAACAAGGGTTTGATCGTCCCAGGATTGGGTCCCCGGTTTTTATAATCCGATTTTTCGGGTTTGCAGTTTTTCTAATTTTACTTCCCACAACTTCACTATCCACGTTCCCACTTCACCATTTCCAATTCCACCCTTACTTTTATCCCCACTTTCCCCTCCCCTTTACCTTTCTTTAACACTACATTTAAATTATAAAGAAATTTTTTTTTTGAAAATTTTCAGCGGATTCAGAACACGAATTTGACGAGTTTTTACCTTCTGATTTTGAAAATGAAGAAGAAATTGAACAACAAAATATAGAAATAAGTGAAAACAGAATTAACAATCAACGTGAAAATTTACAAGGAGGAAACCCTAAAAATAATAGTGGATTGGGTCTAGACGAAATAGATTCAATTTCTTCTCAACTTTCTTTTGGTATTTAAAAAATTTTTTTAACTAACCCCCTTCCTCATTTTATTTAACCAAAAAATCTTCCCTTTTCACCGAATTAAAAATAATTTTAAAAATCCCCTACATTCATACTAGTTTCAATAATAATTTTTTCCCCTTTTTGCTGCCCAACTAAAGTTCTAAATGGCAGAGTGATGTTCAAGATCAAAAAATTTTTTCCTGTACTCAAGGCCAAGACAGAAAAACTCCCCTATAAGTCTTGAATATCCTTCTACATACTAACTTGACTATTCCAAGCTCAACAAAAAAATTTTTTTCAGAACTCAAGATCAAAACCGAACCTAAAAGAAGTCTTTCCCCCTCTCCTCCTTCCTTATCTAACCAAAAAATAATTTTAAAAGATTTCCCTAATTTAATTTTTCCCCCATTTTTAGACGATGAAGAAGAGGCTCACGCTCTTCTTTCTGGTCTTCGTCAAATAGATATATCCGAATCTGATTCCGATACCGATGCTTTTTTACCTTCCTTTGCTATTAAAAAACGACAACAACAACAAAATGATAAAAATCTTGTTGGGGAATTTTAGTCAAAAAATTTTTTTTAAATTTTCTTAAAGTCTATTTACGTGCTTCTAGAGGATAGATTGAATTTTAATTTCATTTTATTACTCAATTTATTCTCTTAGGATATTTTTAAAAATACACTAACTGATCTCAATTTCTCTCTAAAAATGCTAGGGTGCTCGCTTCTTTTTTTAATTTTATTTCGGTGACTAGAAAAAAAGGTATTACTCGGGTGTTAACTCTGATATCCTTTTTTGATGGACTCGGAAAAAAATTTTTCTGGACAATTAAATAACAGAAACCCAAGTTATCTTAAATTTTTCTAGTCATCAATTCTCCTATATTTTCTAAAATTGTCCACACCTTATTTTTGGGTATTTTCCGAGTTTCTCAATTTTTTTATTTAATTAAACTACCAAAGCATATCCCGATTTGTCCAATGTCCAAACTCCAAAAGTTGCCCAATTTTCCAAATCTGTCCAATCGTGTCCAGGTTCCAAAATTATTTTTCAGTCCACAATTTAAAAATCTAAAGGTAAAAAAATCGGGATTAGTATTTATTTCTCTTTTGCTTATTAAAATATTCTCGGCATTGATTCGACAATTTTAATATAAAAATAAAGTATAAAAACATTTTTAAATCACATTTAAAAATTTTACAGAGAAAGACAAGTAAAATAAGGGAAGGGTTAAAAAAGCTGTGTTTTGAAAGAAAAATTTTTTTCTTAATTTCTAAAAAATTAAATTTTTTTTGGAATTTTTAGAAATCCAAGGAGCCCTGAAATTTTTTTGAATTTTTAGAACTTCCAAGATTATGAAAAGTATTTTTTAACACAGCTTTCTAAATATATAATTTTTTGAAGAATTGGGAACCCGTTTCTTCTTTGGCTCTAATAAGTAAAATTAGGATAAAAACTTGGCAAGAGAGTTAAAAGTAAAAGGAATTAGGGAGAAAACAATAAAAAATACCGGGAGAGAGGATTTGGAATTTTTTAAATTTTAATAAAATGAAAGAAATTTTGGTAATTATTAATTAGTGGTACCTAATTAAATAACAAAAAATATAGAGAGAATAAGAGATTTCTGAGGAGGATTGAAAATTTTTTTTAATTTTGTAGAGTAGTTGAGCAATCCAACAAAAAAATTTTTGTACATTTTCCATCCACTTGTTAAATTTTTCTAATAAACCTCAAGGTAAATCTTGCTGTCCTTCCATTTGGTCGAAAGATTATCTTAAAATAAAAAAAAAGTTAAAAAATTTCAGAAAATTTTTCAAAAATTTTTCGAGGTAAAAAATTTTTTTATTGAACCCTCCCCTCTCAAATTTGATTTTTAATCCCAGAAACCAAATTAAAAATCTTTTTAATTTTATTCGTTAAACTAAAACCAGGCAATCCTCCGGTTTAAAAAATTTTTTTAGTTCCCCTTAACAAAAATCCTCACATAAATTTGACTTCCATCAGATATTGTATCTTCCTTTGGCCGATAACAACAACTTTAAAGAAAAATTTTTAAATTAATTTTTAAAAATTAAAAAAAACCTCCTAAATCCAGTTAACCGAATGTCCAATTTATGTTTAATTTCGACATACGACTAAAGAAATTTTTTTTTCTTTTTTTAAATTTAAAAATAAGCACCTGGCATCCATATGAACAAGGGAACTAAAAAAGAATTTTTTAATTAGAAATTTTTTTAAATTAAATTACCTCTCCATCACTTAATCTAAAACGAATATGACTTCCTTCGGGTGCCTTTAAATTAAAAAAAAATTATTTTTCAAAAAAAATTTTTTCTTCCTTACAGAAATTCTCCAATAACATTGAACATTTTTGTTAAAGGAAGGATTTAAATTTGTTTGTTGAGTCCGAGAATCCTTAAAATAAATTAAAAATTAAATGAAAATTTCTTTTACATGCAATTCTGGTGACCTAAGTGTTTGCCACTGATCGGTAGCTATTAATTCACCTCCACAAACGCTTGGTTGTAACCTCTCACATTCAACACCACCAAGTGCTATTTTAGAAAATAAAATTTTTTTAATTTTTTTATAATAAATTAAAATTTTTTTGACTTCCTTCAGGTGCCACCCAAAAATGATAAAAACACAAAAATTACCATCAGGGCATTTACAAACATTGCAATTATTTGGATCTGGATAACCGCCAGCTTGACAACGCAACTAAGAAAAATTTTTTTTCTAATAAAAAAAAGATTTTTTTACGTTTCTTCCAAATCCTTCACAAGCATTTGGACAATAAATATCATTAATCATTTTTGCATCAAGAAAGGCCATTCTTTCTGTTCCCATCTAAAACTTGTGTGTATTTTTTCAAGTTTTAATTTTAAATAAAAATACAAAATTGGAAAATACAAAATAAAGCAAACTTGAATAAAATAATAATTCAAGTTTGTATTTTTCAAGTTTATTTAATGTATTTTTCTTGTATTTTTTCAAGTTTATTTATTAATTCTATTAAAGTTTGTATTTTTCTCGTTTTATATGTATTTTTCCAAGTTTATTTTTAGTGTTTTTTTCTTTATGTATTTCTTAACTTTGTATTTTTCAAGTTTCGTGTTTATTTTTTCAAGTTTATTTTTAGTGTTTATTTTTTCAAGTTTATTTTTTAGTTTATTCAAGTTTGTATTTTATATTTTCTTACTCTTTTATGTATTTTTCCAAGTTTATTTATTAATGTATTTTGCATGTATTTTTCACATTTTCAAGTTTTATTTTTCAAGTTTGACCAAGTTTGTATTATATAATTTGTATTTTCCTTTTTTATGTATTTTTCTTCAAGTTTATTTTCTGTATTTTTTCACTTTTGTATTTCTTCAAGTTTTATTTCTCAAATTTATTCAAGTTTGTATTTTACCGTTTTATGTATTTTTCCCAAGTTTATTTTTAGTGTTTTTTTTTGTATTTCCTCATTTTGTATTTTTCAATTTTATTTTTCAAGTTTGTATTTTCTATTTTCAACTTTTATGTATTTTACTTCAAGTTTATTTCTTGTATTTTTTTATTTTTCAATTTTGTATTTTTTCAAGTTTTATTATTTAATTAAAATACACTCACAGTTGTAACATATTTTAATTCTTTCGGTACAATTGTAAAATCAGTTACTTGTCTAGCATGCGCAACCCAAAAGAAAAATTAATTTTTTGATTAATTGAAAAAGTAATTAACTGCATGATAGTGCATTAATGAGCCATAATCATAACTTTAAAATAAAAAAATTATTTTCCAAAAAAATATTTTTTAAGCTTACGGGGAACGCCGGCCTGAGACCTTTAAATTAAAAAAATTTTTGAAAATTTTCAAAAAATTTTCAAAAAAATTTCAGAAAAATTTTTTAAGACCTGTTTAATAGCAAAAGCTTGAAGCATTGAACGGAAAGGCATAAAAGACTAAAATTAAAAATTTTTAAAAATTTTCAAATAAAAAAATCAGCCAAAAATCATCAGTGAAAGCAACTTACTGCAGTTGCCTCCTCCAAAACATTTCTCCAATTTATACTTATATAACGCTCCCTATCTGGTCTTTGACTTTAAAAATAAATTTTCATTATTCTTTGATTAAATTATTTAACTGTGTATGCCAAAATCCAAGGGCATGACCTGTTTCATGTGCAACTACATACTCTTCTGCACATTCTGAGCCAATAACTTTAAGAAAAAATAATTTTTGTCTAAATTTAATAGGTAAGAAAGTTAAAGGGTTAGCTCCGGGCAAGAGGAAAAACTTCAATCATGCGACATCCCCTCCCAGTCAGGTCGCTGATTAATAAGCTAAAGTGGATCCCCTTTCCCCTCATAATTATATTTAATTTTTAATTTTTTAAATAAATTTTTTAAACTCACTAATATCTTGAAATCCACCATTCCTTCCAATATATTCAGTAAAACAACTTTAAAAATTAAATTTTACAAAATTTCCCTAAAGTTCCCCCCACCTATCTCCCCTTTCAAGTACATATCTAATTGCATCTGTAGCTTGTAAATTTTCACGGAAACGTAAACATGTTGCTTCCTTATAATAAAAAAAAAATCTTTAAATTTAATTTTAAATTTTTTTTACCTCCCACATTTTTATTCCACGACGAATTAAACTTTGGAAATTTGCTGAAAAAAAATTTTTTTAATGAAAAATCGAAAAAAAAATTTTGAAAAATTTTTTCAAATTTATTTTTTGAAATTTATTTTGAAAATCTTTTGATAAATGTCCAAAATTTTTTTAAATTTTTTCGTTTTAAAATTTAAAAAATTCTCCATACCATCTCCTCCCCATATTTGAAATGGAACTAAATTACTTGGCCATTCATATACTTGACCAGCAATTACCTTTTAAAATTTTTAAATAATATTTTTTCCTATTTTTTAACCTGTCTTTTTCGTCTCAAATTTAAATTGGACATTTTTGTCTTCGAAAAGCGCTCTAAAAAAATTTTAAAAATTTTCAAAAAAAATTTTTTTCCAATTAAAAAATTCCACCTGTAATAGTAAAAAAATGTGGAGCTGATTTTTCTCCAGCCATAGGTTCAAGCCCAGGTAAAATTGGAAACGATCTATTTGAAGGGATATGAAGTAAGATTGGCCTTCCCATTTTTGCAATATTCAAAACAAAAAATAAAAGTCCAGTCCAAAAAGGGGAAGAAGAAGAAACCATCGAAGGATGGATGGCCTAAAAAATATTTTTTTAAAAAATTCAAAAAAAATTTTTTTTCAAAAAATCCAAAGGTTAAGGTTATGCAGAAGGCAATGACTCTCTTTCGCTTTAGAGACATGGGCAAAGGTTAGGCAAAGGTCTTTTTACAAAATAGCTGTCATTTAAAAATATTTTTCTAACCTTCACGCACTCTTAGAAAAAACATTTTACACGTAATTATTGCGTAATTAAAATTTTTTAAATTTATCCTTTTCAAGAAAAATGCCTAAAAAATTAATTAAATTGCTTCCTCGACTATTTAAAAATTCTCTGAATTTCTGTGAATTTTTTAAAATTAAATCTTATTGTTAAAATAAAAATTTAGTAGGAAAACTTGAAAAAAAAATTGTCGAAATTTTTTAATAAAAAAATAAAATTGAATCACCTATTAAAATTTAATCCTCTCCCCATTTTTTATTTCCAATATTTAATTCAAACTAAAAAATCCCTTTTTTCTAATATTTAATTCCTAAATAAAAATAGGTATATATTTTTGAGGGTTTTTGTCTAAAAATTACCCCTTTTTTCTTAATAAAAATATTTTTTAAAAAATATTTTTTAAAAATAGGTAATTGGGTTTTTGTCAAAATAAAAATAAATTTTGGGGGTTTTTCTTACTAATATTGAAAAAATATTTAAAAAAATTTTTCTGGTCCTTTAAAAAATTTCTAAAATTGTCGAAAAATTACCCCTTTTTTTGTCAAAAATTTCTTAATAAATTTTTTAAGAAATTAAAATTTTATTTCCTTTCCCCTCATTTCATTTCATTTTTTTCAGTTTTAACCAATCAATTATTAAATTTACTGTCTACAATCAAAAATTGGGTAAACTTGTACTTTTGGCAACCAATTTGCACTTTTGGCAATTTTTTAAAATTGTGGTTTCAATATTTATTTTATTTTTATTGGTTTGTTGATTTGTGGAATTTTACAAAAAGTAGACTACTCAATCCTTTATTTATTCAACTTGAACGTTTACTTGATTTTTTTGTTTATATTTTTGGTTGTTATTGGCTTAAACCTGCGCTTTTATATATTGGAAGGTAAAAAAAGAATTTTTTTGGAGGGTGAAAAGAGAGGGATGAAAAAAAGTTTTTTTTTGTTTAATTAGTAGATAAGAGGGAAAGGAATATTACTTAAAAATTATTTATTTAGTTAATTCCACTCTCTATCCCTCGAAAATTAATTTTTTAAAATAAAAATCAAGGAAAAATAATTGTCTAAAATTCCGGGAAATTTTTTTAATACCAGAAAAAATTCTAAAAAAATTTTCTCAATTTTTGACCCATTCTTTCTCTCTAAAATTAATTTTTTTTAAATAAAAATCAGGGAAAATGTATAAAAATCCAGAAAAAAATTTTTGATTTTTTTCAAAAAAATTTTTCTAAAAATTTTTTTGAATCTAAAATTCCGAAAAAATTATTTTGAATTTTTTTCAGGTCTAAAAATTTCAGAAAAGATTTTTCTTTTTTTTTCTCAATTTTTAGTCGACCCAATCTTTCAAGAAAAGCTTTAAATTTTTATTTTAAAAATTAATCATTGAATAATTTTTTCGCTCATTTTTAAAGTTTTCCCCATTCTCTCTTGTAAAAATGAATTTTTTTTATTAAATTATTCTCCCCCTTATTTTTAATAATTTTTTTGTGGATTATTAAAAATCAATTTTAAAAAATACTTTTAAAAAAGTCTTCCCCACAAAATTTATTTTTTTCTCGATTAATTTTTAAAATAAAACTTGTATATGCCTAACAGGAATCCATCCAACATTAAAGAATAAATTCTCAATTTCTCCCAATTTTTTCAATTACCGATTTTTGGGGATTGGGAACGGCTAGACCTCTTACTAGAGGTCTACCTCTTACTAGACCTCTTACTTACTAGACCTCTTACTTACTAGACCTCTTACCTCTTACTAGACCTCTTATTAGGGCTAGACCTCTTACATAATTAATTTTAAAAATTTCGAAAAAATTTTCAAAAAATCTTTTCCCCCTTCAGAACAATTGGACATCTTATAAAATCAACTTTTGGCCTTATTTGGCGTGCTTCAAAATCCTTAGCTTCGCAAACTTTTATTTATTTAATTTGGCCCATATTTTTAATGGTCGGGAATCAATTGAGTTTAATGGCTTTGTTAATTTATTCAAATGCAATATATCCTTTAATTATTATTTTATATGGAAAATATAAAAAATTGGAAGATTTGGTTTTGATTAATTTACTTGGACCTTTAGTTAAAAAAATTCTTGATAAATTACCACAACGGAATCCTTTGGAGAGTAAGTTTGTCAATTAAAAAAATTTTTTTAATATTACTTAAAAGGGAGAGTAGGGATGAGGAGAGTATGGATCTGATAGTGTTTCAAAAAATTTTCCTCTTATCAGTTCTGGTAACCTGACCCGCCCCTGGTGAGAAGCATTAGAGAAAATATTTGTTAGGAAATTTACCGTATTTCCTCAAATAGTACGGCCCCCTCAATTAGTACGGCCCCCTCTATTAGTACGGCCCTTTAGGTGAGGGTTGAAAAATAGTACGGCCCCCTCAATTAGTACGGCCCCTCAAATAGTACGGCCCCCACCTAAAAAATATAAAAATAGGCAAAATTTGAATTTTTAATCATAGTAATTATTCATCGCAATATTTAACTTATTTATTAAATCTTAATATCTATTGGCATAGAAATTGGAGGGCTTAAGAGGATATCGGTGGATTAATGGGGATTTTATTGGATTAGGAAGGATATCGATGGAATTGGCGTGATTTGAGTATGGATGAATTTAAAAGGATTAGTTGGGAACAAGGTGAATAACGAATAGTCAGATAATTTATCGATATCTCGTTCAGTCTCCCGACTTCTTATCACCCCTTTAATCACTCTAATTCTTCTTAATCTCTCAACTTTTAAATTAATTATTCACGGTTGCACAAACCTAACACTTGACGCTCGACAAAACACACAACAAAACTCGATATGGAGGCCATTTTAAATGCAGCCTTAAATTTTAAGGTCTTTGGTAATTTCAGTTTGGATCAGGCATATAATTAAGTCTAAGTTTCTAGACACACGCTAGTGTGTGTAATAAAAAACAAAAAAATTTCGGCCGTATCTGAAAATAATGCTGCAATCATATTTTTTCCTTCATTTTTTCCTTTCCATATTTTTCCTTATTTTGTACAGAAAGGTCAGACTTTTTCACTCGTTCACTTCCAATGAATTTCCCTGTGGCATGTTCAAATGTAATTATACAGAAAAGATTAAAAGCAAAAAATAAAAAAATATTACATTTTTGTGCTGTAAAACATGGACAGACAAAACACGGACGAAGACGGACAGAACATACGGACGAAACGAGCAGACAAAACACTGACGGACTCGGACAGAAAACACGGACGGACTCGGACAGAAAACACGGACGGACTCGGACGGACACAGACAGACAAAATACGGACGGACAAGGACAGACAGACAAAACACGGACAAACTCGGACAGTTTTGACAAAACACGGACGAACTCGGACAACCATTTTTAAGAATAAGGAAAAAATATGATTGCAGCATTATTTTCAGATACGGCCAAAATTTCAATACACACAGACTTAGTTCAAGGTGGCATAACCAAAAAAATTATTCAGAAAATTCCGAAGGAGGGTTGAAATATAGTACGGCCCCCTCAATTAGTACGGCCCCCTCAAATAGTACGGCCCTTTAGAAGAGGGTTGAAAAATAGTACGGCCGGCCGTACTATTTGAGGAAATACGGTAATTTTGAATATAAACTAGAGTTTCGGCAACGAGTCATTCCCGGACCGAGTTTCCGTGCCTGTAACCCAACTACCTCCCCTCTTCGCCTTCCTCATCTACCTTTAAATTAAAAAATTTTTTAAATTCAAAAAATTTTTTGAAAATTTTCAGCAGATTCAGAACACGAATATGACGAATTTTTACCTTCTGATTTTAAAAATGAAGAAGAAAATGAACAACAAGATATAGAAATAAGTGAAAATAGAATTAACAATCAACGTGAAAATTTACAAGGAGGAAACCCTAAAAATAATAGTGGATTGGGTCTAGACGAAATAGATTCAATTTCTTCACAACTTTCTTTTGGTAATTAAAAAATTTTTTTAACTAACCCCCTTCCTCCTTTTATTTAACCAAAAAATCTTCCCTCTTCAACCAAACTTAAAAATAATTTTAAAAATTACCCACATTCACACTAGTTCAATAATAATTTTTTCCTTTTTTCCAACGGATGTCTATGTGGTAGAGTGTGTTCAAGACCAAAAAATTTTTTCCTGTACTCAAGGCCAAGACAGAAAAACTCCCCTATAAGTCTTGATTATCCTTCTACATACTAACTTGACTATTCCAAGTCCAACAAAAATTTTTTCATAACTTAAGATCAAAACCGAACCTAAAAGAAGTCTTTCCCCCTCTCCTCCTTCCTTATCTTGTCTAACCAAAAATAATTTTAAAAAATTTTTTAATTTAATTTTCCCCATTTTTTAGACGATGAAGAAGAGGCTCACGCTCTTCTTTCTGGTCTTCGTCAAATAGATATATCCGAATCTGATTCCGATACCGATGCTTTTTTACCTTCCTTTGCTATTAAAAAACGACAACAACAACAACATGATAAAAATCTTGTTGGGGAATTTTAGTCAAAATTTTTTTTAAAAATTTTCTTAAAGTCTATTTACGTGCTTCTAGAGGATAGATTGAATTTTAATTTCATTTTATTACTCAATTTATTCTCTTAGGATATTTTTAAAAATACACTAACTGATCTCAATTTCCCTTTATTTTATTTTTACTAATAGGGTGCTCGCTTCTTTTTTTAATTTTATTTCCGTGACTAGAAAAAAGGTCTTGCTCGGGTATTAACTCTGATATCCTTTTCTGATGGACTCGAAAAAAAATTTTTTTGAACAAATAACAGAAACCCAAGTTATCTTAAATTTTTCTAGTCACCAATTCTCCTATATTTTCTAAAATTGTCCACACCTTATTTTTGGGTATTTTCCGAGTTTCTCAATTTTTTTTATTTAATTAAACTACCAAAGCATATCCCGATTTGTCCAATGTCCAAAAGTTGCCCAATTTTCCAAATCTGTCCAATCGTGTCCAGGTTCCAAAATTATTTTTCAGTCCACAATTTAAAAATCTAAAGGTAAAAAAATCGGGATTAGTATTTATTATATTCTCTTTTGCTTATTAAAATATTCTCGGCATTGATTCGACAATTTTAATATAAAAATAAAGTATAAAAACATTTTTAAATCACATTTAAAAATTTTACAGAGAAAGACAAGTAAAATAAGGAAAGGGTTAAAAAAAGCTGTGTTTTAAAAGAAAAATTTTTTCTTAATTTCTAAAAAATTAATTTTTTTTTGGAATTTTTAGAAATCCAAGGAGCCCTGAAATTTTTTTGAATTTTTAGAACTTCCAAGATTATGAAAAGTATTTTTTAACACAGCTTTCTAAATATATAATTTTTTGAAGAATTGGGAACCCGTTTCTTCTTTGGCTCTAATAAGTAAAATTAGGATAAAAACTTGGCAAGAGAGTTAAAAGTAAAAGGAATTAGGGAGAAAACAATAAAAAATACCGGGAGAGAGGATTTGGAATTTTTTATGAAATGAAAGAAATTTTGGTAATTATTAATTAGTGGTACCTAATTAAGTAACAAAAAATATAGAGAGAATAAGAGATTTCTGAGGAGGATTGAAATTTTTTTTTTAATTTTGTAGAGTAGTTGAGCAATCCAACAAAAAAATTTTTGTACATTTTCCATCCACTTGTTAAATTTTTCGAATAAACCTCAAGGTAAATCTTGCTGTCCTTCCATTTGGTCGAAAGATTATCTTAAAATTAAAAAAAGTTAAAAAAATTTTTCAAACCAAATTAAAAATCTTCTTAATTTTAAAAATTTTATTAAACTAAAACTAAGCAATCCTTTGACTTAAAAAAATTTTTTAGTTCCCCTTAACAAAAATCCTCACATAAATTTGACTTCCATCAGATATTGTATCTTCCTTTGGACGATAACAACAACTACAAAAATTTTTTTAAATTAATTTTAAAAATTAAAAAACCTCCTAAATCCAGTTAACCGAATGTCCAATTTATGTTTAATTTCGACATAGGACTAGAGAAAAATTTTTTTCTTTTTTTAAATTTAAAACTAAGCACCTGGCATCCATATGAACAAGGGAACTAAAAAAGAATTTTTTAATTAGAAATTTTTTTAAATTAAATTACCTCTCCATCACTTAATCTAAAACGAATATGACTTCCTTCGGGTGCCTTTAAAAATAAAAAAATTTTTAATTTCAAGAAAAATTCTTTTTTTTTCTTACAGAAATTCTCCAATAACATTGAACATTTTTGTTAAAGGAAGGATTTAAATTTGTTTGTTGAGTCCGAGAATCCTTAAAATAAAATATTAAAATTAAAAATTAAATGAAAATTAATTTTACATGCAATTCTGGTGACCTAAGTGTTTGCCACTGATCGGTAGCTATTAATTCACCTCCACAAACACTTGGTTGTAACCTTTCGCATTCAACACCACCAAGTGCTATTTTAGAAAATAAAATTTTTTTTAATTTAATTGAATTTTCAATAAAAAATTTTTTTTATTAAATTTAAAAATAAAATTAATTTTTCCCTTTAATTAAAAAATATTTTTTTAATTTTTTAAATTTTTTCAATAAATTTTTCCCAGAAATTTTTTGAAAATTTTTTTTCCTCACCATCAGGGCATTTACAAACATTGCAATTATTTGGATCTGGATAACCGCCAGCTTGGCAACGCAACTAAGAAAAAATATTTTCCGCAACAAAAAAAATTTTTTTACGTTTCTTCCAAATCCTTCACAAGCATTTGGACAATAAATATCATTAATCATTTTTGCATCAAGAAAGGCCATTCTTTCTGTTCCCATCTAAAATTTGTATTTTTTCAAGTTTTAATTTTAAATTAAAAAATACAAAATTGGAAAATACAAAATAAAACAAACTTTAATTCAAGTTTGTTATTTATTCAAGTTTGTTCAAGTTTGTATTAATTCAAGTTTTTATTTTTTACAGTTTATTTAATGTATTTAGCTTGTATTTTTTTCAAGTTTATTTATCAATTTTATTAAGGTTTGTATTTTTCTCGTTTTATGTATTTTTCCAAGTTTATTTTTATTGTTAGTGTTTTTTCTTTATGTATTTCTTGACTGTATTTTTCAAGTTTTGTGTTTATTTTTTCAAGTTTATTTTTTAGTTTATTCAAGCTTGTATTTTATATTTTGTAAACTCTTTTATGTATTTTCCCAAGTTTATTTATTTAATGTATTTTTCATGTATTTTTCACATTTTCAAGTTTTATTTTTCGAGTTTATCCAAGTTTGTATTTTATATTTGTATTTTCCTTATTTTATGTATTTCTCTTCAAGTTTATTTTCTGTATTTTTTTCATTCTTGTATTTCTTTTGTATTTCTCCAAGTTTTATTTCTCAAATTTATTCAAGTTTGTATTTTCTCTTTTTATTTAATTTCTCAAGTTTATTTTTAGTGTTTTTTTGTATTTCCTCATTTTGTATTTTTCAATTTTATTTTTTATTTTTCAAGTTTGTATTTTCTATTTTCAACTTTTATGTATTTTACTTCAAGTTTATTTCTTGTATTTTTTTATTTTTGTATTTTTCAATTTTGTATTTTTTCAAGTTTTATTATTTAATTAAAATACACTCACAGTTGTAACATATTTTAATTCTTTCGGTACAATTGTAAAATCAGTTACTTGTCTAGCATGCGCAACCCAAAAGAAAAATTAATTTTTTAATTAATTGAAAAAATAAATTAACTGCATGATAATGCATTAACGAGCCATAATCATAACTTTAAATTTTAAAAAATTATTTTCCAAAAAAATATTTTTTAAGCTTACGGGGAACGCCGGCCTGAGACCTTTAAATAAAAAAAGATTTTCAAAAAATTCAAAAAATAAAAAAAAAAATTTTTTTAAGACCTGTTTAATAGCAAAAGCTTGAAGCATTGAACGGAAAGGCATAAAAGACTAGAAATTAAAAAAAAAAATAATTTTTTTTTAATTTAAAAATCAGTCAAAAATCATCAGTCAAAGCAACTTACTGCTGTTGCTTCTTCCAAAACATTTCTCCAATTTATACTTATATAACGCTCCCTATCCGGTCTTTGACTTTAAAAATAAAAATTTAATTCTTATTTTATAAAATAATTATTTAACTGTGTATGCCAAAATCCAAGGGCATGACCTGTTTCATGTGCAACTACATACTCTTCTGCACATTCTGAGCCAATAACTTTAAGAAAAAATATTTTTTGTCTAAATTTAATAGGTAAGAACGTTAAGGGTTAGCTCCGGGCAAGAGGAAAAACTTCAATCATGCGACATCCCCTCCCAGTCAGGTCGCTGATTAATAAGCTAAAGTGGATCCCCCTTTCCCCTCATAATTATTTTTAATTTTTAATTTTTTAAATAAATTTTTTAAATTCACTAATATCTTGAAATCCACCATTCCTTCCAATATATTCAGTAAAACAACTTTAAAAATAAAATAAAAAATTTTTTCAAAGAAATTCCCCCCACCTATCTCCCCTTTCAAGTACATATCTAATTGCATCTGTAGCTTGTAAATTTTCACGGAAACGTAAACATGTTGCTTCCTTATAATAAAAAAAATTCTTTCTTTAAATTTAATTTTAAATTTTTTTACCTCCCACATTTTTATTCCACGACGAATTAAACTTTGGAAATTTGCTGAAAAAAAATTTTTTTTAATGAAAAATCGAAAAAAAAAATTTTGAAAAATTTTTTCAAATTTTTCAAATTTATTATGGAAATCTTCAAAAAAAAATTTTTTTTGAAAAAATATAAGTTCAAAAAAATTTTGTTTTTCCTGAAATTTTTCAAAATTTTTTTTTAAAATTCTTTCAAGTTTTTAAAAATTAAAAAAAATTCTCCATACCATCTCCTCCCCATATTTGAAATGGAACTAAATTACTTGGCCATTCATATACTTGACCAGCAATTACCTTTTAAATTTTTTAAATAATATTTTTTTCCTATTTTTTAACCTGTCTTTTTCGTCTCAAATTTAAATTGGACATTTTTGTTCTCGAAAAGCGCTCTAAAATATTTTAAAAATTTTCAAAAAAAATTTTTTTCCAATTAAAAAATTCCACCTGTAATAGTAAAAAAATGTGGAGCTGATTTTTCTCCAGCCATAGGTTCAAGCCCAGGTAAAATTGGGAACGATCTATTTGAAGGGATATGAAGTAAGATTGGCCTTCCCATTTTTGCAATATTCAAAACAAAAAATAAAAATCCAGTCCAAAAAGGGGATGAAGAAGAAACCATCGAAGGATGGATGGCCTAAAAAAATCTTTTTAAAAAATTTTGTTAAAATATTTTTTAAGGAAAATCCAAAGGTTAAAGGCCATGCAACAGACATTGGCCCTAATTTCGCTACCAGCTCCCGTCTGCCACATTTTATTTTGTTCCGCTTTCTTCCGTTTTTTAAAATTCTGCAGGGCCTATCCCTGACATTCAGCAAAATTAATAATACAATTGCGCATACATGTAATAATAAATACATCGATCCGGCGCCGCGCAACTTATACTAGCTAGTAACACAACACAAAAGCAGAAAGCCCCGTAAGGTAAAAAATCAGTAAAGAATAAAAAAATTGATCAAAAATGAGGAAAAGAGTCATTCATACAAAACAACATAAAAAATAATAAGTTTTTAACAATTAAAAAATTGCTTTTGGTTGAGGAAGGTGATGATGAGGAGAATAAAAAAAAAGGTATGAGGAAGAAGGACAGACAAAAAAATTATTTTTGAATAGAAAAAGCTTTTGCCGGTTGTAATTTTCTCTCTAATAGTAAAGTAAAAAAGCTACATATATATTGCCGGTTCTAGTAGAGCCATCAAAAAAAAAATTAAAAACCTGTCTCTTTTCTGAACGGAGAGAGAAGAGGAGGAAATTTGTGAAGGGAAAAATGAAGAGGAATATAACAATTAAATATTATTATTGCCCAATTGTGAAGAATGAATTAGAAAATTTTGTAAATAAAAGAATTGGCTTTGAAATAATGTCCAACGGAATTTTAAAAAATGAAATTAAAATAGGATTAGCCGAGAGATCGAATCGAGAGATCCACCTCCCCTTCCCTTCAAGAGAGAGATCCCCGCACCCTCCTCTTCAAAAGAGAGATCCCCGCACCCTCCCATTCAAGAGAGAGATCCCCGCACCCTCCCCTTCAAGAGAGAGATTCCTCCCCCTCCCCTTCAAGATCCTCTTCTCCTTCAAAGCCCCTCTTCTGGATATATTAAAAAAAAGAAAGAGAGATCCCACCACCCCTCCCCTTCAAGATCCTCTTCCCCTTTCAAAGCCCCTCTTCTGGATATATTAAAAAAAAGAAAGAGAGATCCCACCACCCCTCCCCTTCAAGATCCTCTTCCCCTTTCAAAGCCCCTCTTCTGAATAATTTAAAAAAAAACGAAACTCGAAAATATCATTACGGCTATGAATGACTCCTCTTGATATTATCACCCTTAACTGATCTCTTTAAGGGTACTTGATCTCTTTAGGAGAACTAACGTAATCGGAAATTCCTTGTCCTAAATTTTATCGCTAGTTCGCTACAGTCGAGAGACCGTCCTCTTCCTTCCGGATATGAATTTAAAAAAAAGAAAATTCAAAAAATTCTTTCCGATATCTTCTAACGTCATTAGAAGCTTCCTAATGAATGGTCCTTTGATGACTGGTCCTTTCGGTGGACTGACTAATCAAAAGTTCCTTGTCCCATTAAAAATAATTCCAAATATTTTTCGCGAGTTCGCTACTAGTCAGAAAATATTTTTTAAAAAAGATATAAGGTCTCGGGCAAATGAATGTTCTGAAATTAATTTTATATATATTGCGCTAACAAAAAAATCAAAATAGATTGCAAGGCCGTGATCTATCCACACACACGCATTTTTTATTCTTCCCCATTTTATTGGCAACCTTGACACTTTTTTTGCCCCAAATTTTAACAAAAAAGGAAAGAAAGAAAAATCGGATTTAGAATTTATATTTATAAACCCTTTTAAAGGAAAAAAAAAAGAAAATTTTTCTAAATGCAAATAAAAATATTATTATTATTGGAGGTCGCGGTCGATCACTCAACAAAAGACGTAAAAAATAAATTTTTTTGGAGCATGTACCCTCTTAAAAAAGACAAATAGGAATAAGTGTGTGATGGCCCGCGGGCACTTTGACCGCGTAATTTACTCTCCCCCCTTCTATAAATTTTTTAATACCTTTTAGAAAATTTTTTTTCCTTCTTTACCCTCGAATGAACGGCCGATAGTTTTGTCGTTGTTGTTAGAGAAGACGACCTAAGCAACCAAAAAAAAAGCTTCTTCCAAAAAGGTAAAGCAATCTTTTCTTTTGATGATGATCCTCCTCCTCTTCTTTTTTCGCATCGCTTGAAAGAATTACAGCAGCGGCCTCGAAATGGGACGAATAAAAGAAAGGAAGAACCTGTCCTGTTGCTAAAAACAAATCAAAACCTAAAAAAAAAGATCGAAATCAAATAGAGAGAGAATTAGTAAATATCTGACATAATTATCTGGCTTGATTAGTTCTCATTAAATATTCTCATTATTGACAAATAATTGACAACTAATGAGTATGAGACAAATATCCAAAAATCTATTCAAGACATATTCTAAAAACTGATCAAAAAAAAATCACCTCCTAATCTGAGTTGAAATTTTAATTGATCTGGAGATTGAACAAAACTATTTAGAAGATTACCAAAGAGCCCGATCAACGTTAATCTGCTGAATTGATAAATTAATCCCATCATTTGATCTTTCAACTATCCCAATATTCACCTTCCTTTCCTCCACCACCTAATAACTAACCCTCTTCACCCATGGACAAACCTCCATGACACCCCCCTACCCCAAGCTTCTTCCTGTCCCCCTACTTCTTCATGCTTCTTCATGTCCTCACACCTCCCCCCAGCATCTCCATGCCCCCCCCCCAGCATCTCCATGCCCCCCCCCCTTCTCACCTCCTCACACTTCCCCACAACTTCGTCCTGTCCCCTTTTCACACCTCCCCCTAGCTTATTCATGCCCCCTCACACCCCCCCCTCTCTCCAGCTTCTTCCAGTCCCCCTCTCTTCTCCCTTCCCCCTCTCTCTTTTATTTTCCAAAATTGTTTCCCAATTTTTAATCCAAATCCTAAAAAATTTTCTTTTTCCAAAAATTGCGTTTCAGATAAGCTTTTTTTTAATAGAAAACAGGAAAAGTGTAAATATATAATTTTTTTTTTCAAAAAAAAAGGTAAAGCGTAACCACCACCAACTAAAAAGAGAGAGAGAAAATGGGATTATTTTATTTTATATTATTGCGCGTTATTTTTTTTTGTTTCTTTTTAGTTTTTTTGTGTTTCATTAATTTTACAACCTTGAACTAAAACAATTTT